ATCAAGTCACTACTTCCATTGTTTCTTGTTGTAATACAGTCGTCTTACTGAAAAAAAAGATCCTACATATTTTGCTAGCTGTTGCTAGCCCACTGCTACAATAAGATTTTCGTGAATACAGATTTCTACATAGGCAGCTTCTTCAAAGAATGCTTTGTGCTAAGTTCAGTCAAGAGCACCAGATCTCTTGGGGCTCTCAAGATTGCGGTTCCTAGTGGTCTGTTTTTTCCATTCCCCTTAGAGCCACCAGATACCAGATACCACCAGGGTACCAGATAAACACTTAATAGATTAGAAGGAGGCCGAAGTAGGTAGTTAATAATAAAAGACTTTTGCTGGCTTTTGTCCCCAGTTTCTAGGAGGTGGCCTCCTAAATCTTCAGAATTTCCTGATGATAGGAGTGTCTTTGTTACTCATGGTGGGTCCATCAGACCACACGTGACTGTCTATGCTAACAAAGTGATTCCCGGTGGACCTCTAAAGTGACTGAGAATGGGGGCTGGCCATACCAGAAAGAACCAACTGTGTGATTAGAGGGTTGAGCTTTAAAACACATGATGTTAGCCCAATCTCTAGGTAGGGAAGGGAGACTGGAGGTTTAGCCACATGTCAGTGATTAAATCAACCATACCTATGTATGACACCTTGATAAAAACACCAGAGCATGGTGAGAAATGGCCGTGGACCTCTGAATTTGCAGCTGGTGCTTGAAGCTGAGGGCACTCTTGTAGATGACTGTCCTTTTACCTCAAATAAATAGAGGACTTAGAATAATGCAGGCTAGAAAATGTGGTAGTAGAGGTGAACAAAAGTGGACAGGTTCAAGAGATGTAGGGTGAAATCAATAGGACTTGATGATAGATATTGTCATGCACAATCCTGAAACGCAAATTTTTAAAAATCAATGAGTTACCAATTTTATGTTATAGAAAAAATTTTAAATAGGAATTTAAAAAACATGGTTTTTTAAATCATTACCAAATAATACCTCTATGTATCACTGCATAATAAGGATAAGGAAAAGCAAATAACTCTAATCTTTATTTTCATGTGCACTATTTCACACAAATCACATCAGTCAGGGACTAATAGACACAACTTCAGGGAAAACAAACTATAAACCATAATAGAGATTTGTTATTTTTTAAGCCATTAACATTATAATCTCGTGTCATCTATCATAGGACTTGTCACTATTCATACAAGCCTCAGAACTGTGCCTAATTGACTGAGTAGAAAATAGCTTTAAATTTCTCTCTCCCTTTTTCTATGGTTGAAATTTAAATCAAGTCAGTACTACAGTGCTCATCAATGAGCTTGCCCAAAGGAAAAACCTTACGAGAAGCTTATATGATGAGAGAGCTAGCACAAGAGCCAGAGGAAAACTGGGAGCCCACTGCAGAACACCACCTACAAATGAAACCTGTAACAGTGGCTCCAGAGCTTACTCTGTGCTGTCAAGTTGCAAAAAATTGAAGACGTAAGGTCTTTAAGCTACAAAGGTCCTGGGACTCCCCCTGATAGTCCAGTGGCTAAGACTCCACTCTCCCAGCGCAGGGGGCCTGGGTTCAACCTCTAGTCAAGGAACTTGATCCCACATGAGCAACTGAAGATCTCGCATGCTACCGCATGCCACAGTGAAGCCTGAAGATCCTGCATGCCACAAGGGAGACCCCACGACAGCCAAAGAAAGAAATAAATATTTTTTTAAAACACTTTACTTCTGTCAAAATAAAATCAAAGCTAATAGTCCTCAATGGCTTTGAGAATCAACTGGCCAAAGACGCAGATTGTCACATGTGTCTATATCCCATGGATGCAATCAACAGGAAAGACTGGAAAGGTAGGCAGTTGAGAAACTGTTTCTCCACAATTAGGGGCACGGGGAACTGTAGGGAAAAGGAAACGTGCAGCTTTCTTTAAATATCTGTATTTCTTCCCGAGTAACCCGGATGTCTGCAAACCGCGCCAGCCTATGAGGTCACAGTAACACCACCCACACGTCGCTGTTTCCTAGCCTGGTGTTGTTAGGCTACGCGGCTGCCACTGCAAAACCTCGCCCATTCTGAGACTCTCCGCTTGTTGTTATGCTCAGACAGAAGTCTGGTCATACCCCCCTGCTCCAAATGTCCACTGTCAAAGAGCCCCTGACCCTGCCACGGCTGCCCACGGCCTCAGACTCTGAGGGCCACCCTGGGAGGATGGCCTCATGACGCCCAGATTCCCAAGCAGGAGCAGCTGGTTCGCCAAGGCTCGAAACATCCTTCATCGAAGTGACCCCTTCTCTTCTGCTGTCTCCCTCCACTGCTGCCTAAAATACCTTTTACTTACTCTCAGAGTCAGACCAGCAGCAACAGATGGCCATGCCCATCCCAAGCCACAAAGCCCTCGGGAGCCCAAGCAGGGCTCGGTTCTGTGCAGAGACACGGGGAATAAACTGAGAGAGAGAGAGGGATGCAGTGAGTACCAACACGGGATGAACCTGGAAGACAAAGCTTATACATCTATTCATTGTTCTAGGATTCCCATTTTTCTGTAGATTTGAAATATTTCCAAATAAAAAGTTGAAGGAACAATTTAAAAATAAAAGGACTGCAGAAGATAGAAATCAAATTGCTTTAATGATTACATCCTAAATATGGTTCAATATAGGGCTTCCAAGGTGGCTCAGTGGTAAAGAATCCGCCTGCAATGCAGGATACGCAGGAGACATGGGTTCAATCCCAGGGTCGGGAAGATCCCCTGGAGGAGGAAATGGCAACCACTCCAGTATTCTTTTTTTTTTAATGGAAGGATAATTGCTTTACAGAATTTTGTTGTTTTCTGTCAAACCTCAGCATGAATCAGCCATAGGTATACATTTATCCTCTCCCTTTTGAACCTCCCTCCCATCTGCCTCCCCATCCCACCCCTCTAGGTAGATACAGAGCCCCTGTTTGAGTTTCCTGAGACACACAGCAGATTCCCGTTGGCTGTCTATTTTACACATGGTCATATAAGTTTCCACGTTACTCTTTCCACACATCTCACCCTTTCCTCCCCTCTCCCCATGTCCATGAGTCTATTCTCTATGTCTGTTTCTCCATTTCTGCCCTGTAAATAAATTCTTCAGTACCATGTTTCTAGATTCCGGATATATGTGTTAGAATACGATATTTATCTTTCACTTTCTGACTTACTTCACTCTGCATAATAGGTTCTAGGTTCATCCACCTCGTTAAAACTGACTCAAATGTGTTCCTTTTTATGGCTGAGTAATATTCCACTGTGTATATGTACCACAACTTCTTTATCCATTCATCTGTGGATGCACATCTAGGTTGCCCCCATGTTCTACCTATTGTGAATAGTGCTGCAATGAATAATGGGATACGTGTGTCTGTTTCGATTTTGGTTTCCTTAGGGTATATGTCTAGGAGTGGGACTGCTGGGTCATATGGTGGTTTTATTCCTAGCTTTTTAGGGAATCTCCATACCATCTTCCATCATTTACATTCCCACGAACAGTGCAAGAGCATTCCCTTTCCTTCACACCCTCTCCAGCGTTTATTGTTTGTAGGCTTTTTGAGGATGGCCATTCTGACCAGTGTGCGGTGATACCTCATTGTGGTTTTGACTTGCATTTCTCTAATCATGAGCGATGCGGAGCGTCTTTCCATGTGTCTGCCGTCTGCACATCTTCCCGACTCCAGTACTCTTGCCTGCAGAATCCAACGGACAGAGGAGCCTGCGGGGCCACAGTCCACGGGGGTCACAGAGAGCCGGATACAACTTAGCAACTGAGCGCGCACCTGGCGCACGCATAGTTTATAATCATTAAAACCGGGAATGGTGACGGCCTGGGCGAGGGCAGTGGCGGTGAGTGCAGAAGCTGGATTTGAGAGAGGTGTCTGGCTGGAAACAAGAGGAGGTGATCTGCTGGATACGTGGTATGAGGGAGGGGGGAGTCAAGGGTGACACTACGATACACAGGTTGGGACAGATGATTCAAGAAGAGGACAACACATGTGGACACGGAGCAGAGGACGCGGGAGAGGAACTGGGAGACCGGGACTGCGGTACCTGCAGTGTCGTGCGTAAAACAGGCGGCTGGTGGGAACCCGCCGGGAGAAGAGGGCGCGCGGCCGGTGCCCTCTGGAGACCTAGAGGGGCGGGGCGGGGGCGGGGCCAGGAGGGAGGGGCTGGATGTGCGCACGCGGCTGGTTCGCTTCCCGGTGCGGCAGAAAGGGGCACAGCACTGTAATGCGACTCCACCCCCGCTCGGAAGTTAATACGAGAGAGGACAAGAGATCAATTCTGTTTGCACAGGACAGCCAGGTGGGGGTGCTCACAGGACCCTGGACCATAAACAGAGCTGAATCTGTGAGGAGTTAGGAGCCAGGAGAAGCTGGAGCCGGTGCATGCATCAGGTCCTCCACCATAAGGGAGAAGGGGGAGCCGGTGCATGCATCAGGTCCTCCACCATAAGGGAGAAGGAGGAGGGGGGAAATGAGGACAACCCGCTCAAGGAGCCAGGAGAAGCGGGAGCCGGTGCATGCATCAGGTCCTCCACCATAAGGGAGAAGGAGAGGGGGAAATGAGGACAACCCGCTCAATGAGGCTAAGGGGAATCCCTCATTTCCAAGACAAAGTACTCATGTTAATCCCACACTCTATGTCGTCTCCCTGTATAATTCATTCCTGGGCAAATTCCACTCCTCATTAACATTTCTTCTTTCCTTAGATTGTTTTTTTATTATTTCAGTTTTATTATGCTGGTACAAAAGCCAAGTATTCCTCCTAATAAATGGCCTTTTTCATCTGTTATATCACCCAAATGAATTCAAGCGCTTATAATTAGCAAGGTTTACATAACAGGTATAATTTCTTGATAATAAAGTCAGGCCATTATCATTGGTTTTTCTTAATGGGAGCATTTTGTTTTTGAAATAAACAGCAGGCATTAACCAAAGATATCTGGATAGTAATAATATCCAACTCTGATCATAACCCATTTGCTACTCTCTTGAAACTAATCATAATTCTACAACAAAATAAAAACATTAGGGGATTAATAAAAGCCATTTTATCAGACAAGGCTCATTCTTCTTTAGTGCTATATTTGTCACACAAGGGGAAATTACTTTATTACATGGATAGCAATGCATTTATGACAAGGCACTTGAAAAATAAGTCTGACACTCATTTTGAAGTGAAATTCCAATTCTTAGTAGTCAAAAGCCATGTAGTCATCAAAATCCTTTAAAGAGAAAAAAAAAACACTGCATGCTTTTAGTGCTTCCAAGGGCTTTGTTCTTAAATAAAAGGACTTAGTAGGTGCAAGTATTAACAGTTTAGACTGTTGATAATGGTTTAAGTTAAATCAGAAATGAAATTCAGTACTATGGTCATACCAGACCAAAATAATTAGGCAAAAAAAAGGATTTTTTTTTAATTAATCAGTAATGTTATATAGGCAAGCAGATGATTTCAAGGAAGGGGGAGAGAAAAAAAGCCACTCCTTCACTTAGAAGATAAATGGATAAATCATTGGTCTTGTCACCTATGTGTCACTGGCTTACCCCACCAGCCACTTAGGAAACTCCAAGGCTCTGCGAAGTATCAGCTACCCCACCCCAGTTCCACCCCTGAACAAGTATGTCTATTCAGGGTGGGAAAGACTACCTATCAGAATGGTCTCCAATTTCTCAATACAAAGTTGTAACTGGAAAGCATCTGCCCAGCCTGTAAAACCCAGTTTCCACTCCTTTTGCACCTAGGTGGAAACTCATAACCCATTCTCACTGTGAACTGTGCCCCTTCTGGACCTGGGCTTTTAAGAAGGCAGGCGTCTTTGCTCCATACTCTCCTCTTTCCCTCCTCCACCAGCTCGATGCAGATGACAACTAGGTCCAAGGGAACTGCAGAATCTCCGGATGGAAGTCTCCTGGGCCCCTGAGTCAACATATGGAGAACCATCCACTCTCCACTGGCCTGTATGTGAACAAAATGTAGATTCTTATTGTGTCTGAGCCATTATGCATTGTGGGTGTATATGCTGCAGCAAGTTATCCTCTGTGAGGTACCAGAGATGACGTGTATGTGCTGCTCACAGACAAGGCAAATCCACTGTCCAGCCAGCCACCGTGTACCGTAGCTTTCTTCTATCTTCTGCTCTATTCCTTGAACATGAGGCATCCCACTGTCAACTCGGTACCACCGCATCTACTGGGCTTCACTCCTCATGACCTCAGTCGGGCACGTCTGCCGCTTCTGTTAGGACCCCCAGACTGGCTGCCACAGTCGCTGAGCCCCTCCGCCTCCGCCGGTACTTCTGCACAGTCCGGGTACCGCGCGTGCTCTGACCTGACACCACCCTTTCTGCACCCTGCTGCCTCTCCAGCTAGAGCCCATAAAGCACCGAAATGCCTCCACGTTTTGTGAGGAAATATAAGCGAGAGGGGCTTCACAGGTGGTTCAGGGGTAACGAGTCCACCTGTCAAGGCAGGAGATATGGGTTCGATCCCTGAGTCTGAAAGATCCCCTGGAGAAGGAAAGGGCAACCCACTCCAGTCTTCTCACCTGGAAATCCCATGGTCAGAAGAGCCTGGCAGGCCACGGTCCACGAGGTCACAAAGAGCTGGGCACGACCTAGTGACCAAACAACAACAATTTAAGTGAGAGTGTCTCTTTCCGTTTCAAAGTCAAACTCATTTGGCTCCAAGCAACTGACAGAGAAAACCCAGTTCATGGTGGCTTAAGCAATAAAAGCATTTCCTTACCTAATGTGACAAGAAGTCCAAACGTGCTGAACGCCAGACTGGGTGCACAGCTCCCCAACACCATCAAACACCTTATTTCTTTCTATCTTGACTTGGTCCTTCTCCTCGGCCAGCTTTTCGCTCTTAGTTATCGCAAGATAATGGCCACCAGCCCAACCAGTATATCCTCATGCAACATCAGTTGGGTAAAAAAATAGGAGACGTTTTTCCCAGAAGCCCAACTGCAGATATCTCCCACCATAGCATTGGCCTTACATACATAGCCACCCTGACTCCAGGGAGCACTGGAAAAGGAAAACCCTGTTGAAAGGAATGAGATTGCCAAGGAACTCCCCCGGCAGTCCAGTGGTTAGAACTCTGGGCTTCCAATGCCAGGGGCACAGGTTCAAACCCTGGTCTAGGAACTAAGCTGCTGCATGCCCCACAGCTCAGGTGAGAAAATTTTTTTTAAAAAAAGGAATGATATTGCCATTCATGACTAAAATCCATCATGATTTTAGTCCCTAACTTGGCGCCACCGCCCCCGCCCCAAAGAAATTGCATTTACCAAAAAGGAGGGAAATGGCGATTGGGGGTGGAGAGGCAACCCACAACGGCTGCCAGATTCTGATACCACCACACTGCCTCCCACACAGGCAGTGCAGTCGAAAGCTTCTCTGCCTTCTGAGACCCACACCTGTGCCCCTGGGGAACTGACCAGGTACAAGGTTAAGGGGTAGACATCTGCCCTCTATGTTCACACACACATTTGTTATGTCAATGGTTTTGATAGTGGGTCACCCATTATTAAGCCTGTCTCTCTCTTAATATGATCACTCACCTAGTCATAAAGTGGCTTCCTCGCAGTGGCACCCCGCCAGTTTGAGAGATGAGCTCACCATACCTGTGTGTACTATACCTCATAATAGTCATCATTTGGGCTCAAGCCACAGATTACCAGCCCAGTCGTATCACTTCTTATTTTTGCTTTGACAGAGCTGGGCTTCAAATTGACAAGCATATCATTTTTGATACATAGAAAAAAACTGGTCAGAATGTGTTAGAAAAAAAAAAGCCTTCTCCAAAAAGAAAATATCACTGGTGTTCAAGTCGCCTTAACAATAAACACTAATAATGACAACAGATTGTTTGTTCAATATTAACTGCATTTAACTGTGAGACAAATCAAAGATCGCCATAGGGAACACATGACTTGTTAGGAATAGTATGTTTTAATAATTCTGAGAGGAAAATTCTAATTCATCTACAGCGTCAAAGGGTAACATTTCCCAGGGGAAATGAAATTAATCATAGCAAAGGAAAATGCAGCTGAGTTAAATGCATTTTTTTTAATGCTATTAATACTTTCCTTCTACTTTTCTGAGTGAATTCCCAAAGTGATGGGCCCTTGTTGGCGAAAAACTCCAGAACAATCCGAGATGAGACTTTCTAATCACCCATGCTTCCTATTTGGGCCAATTCACAGGCCTTTGAGATAAGACAGACAGCGCCACTGACAGTGGGTGTCCGATAGCGAGAGTGAATTTTTTAAAACACGTTATCTATCGAGGTGGTAACAGGTAAGATGTCTTCGGGGCTTCAGTTTAGGTCGGTGATTTCTAATCTACATAAATTTCCTTGGAACTGACTGCAAACTAGTTAAATGGTTGGCTGATGACAAGAAGACGAGGAAAATAATGCATGCATATCAAGCAGCACAAAAGCTTTGGAGGGGTTTGTATCCACTCTGTAATTATGTTGGCGCGTGGGACATTAAAATTCTGGCTGGCCTCTCCCTTCGCTTTCTCCCTCCCCGCAGGCCCGCTCATCTTGGCCCCAGTAAATGAGCTCTTGGAGGAAAAAGTAGTTTGAGGTGGAAGAAAGCAAAGAGAAAGATGAGAGAGCAGGATGAAAAGACAGCCCAGCGAGGCCTCCCTGTTCCCCAGCGAGGCACGGGGCTCTCACACAAGCAGGAAAGGCTGTTTTAATTAAAACCTGTGGTCGGCTCAAGGAAGAAAGTCGTTCAGATGAATAGTTTTCCACAGACATCCCTCATTACAGCTTGCACTTTGGGTTGTCTATGTTATTTCTCTGGACCAGGGGCGAACAGGGACAAATCTAGCCCATCACCTGTGTTTGTATCGCCCTCAAGAACGGTTTTTACATTTTTTACATAAATATCCACATATTGCTCCCAATTTTTCCTCTTAGCCTGCCAAGTCTAAAACATTTACGCTCTGGCCCTTTAAGAAAAAGGTTTCCTCTCTGTCTCTAGTTCAGACCTCCAGGGGGCAGCAGTGCTCAGTACATGCCTTTTCTTTTTTTAATCTCTCGGATTCTATAATGCCTGATGGTTAGGTTTCTTAAAGTTCCAAAAGAGAATCCTGAATGCGGGAAGACATTAAAAAAGAAGAAGAAGACGAAGAACCTAAGGCTTAGAGGTGCTAATTGGCTGGTCAAAAGTCGGTAAAGGGAGACCCAGCCGACTCCTACCTTGGAAGAATCTGTGCCCCAGCTTGGAGAGGATAGTAAGAAGTTTTATAGTAATGGTGCAAAGAGGGTGTGATCAGCTTGTGAACGTCCATCTGATGGACTGGTGGTGAGGTAAGTAGGAGTCAGCATGACCAACCTTCAGGTTCCTACTGGTCTGGGGTCTTAAACGCTTGTGGGCAGAGTACCATCCTTAATCCGTAAACTTCTCCCACCTGTAGCGGGTTTCAGAGATATTGTAGTTCAGCTGCAAAACAGCTCAAAGCTGTTGTTGTGTGTATCCACTGACAGGGAACGGCTTCCCTGATGGCTCAGTGGGTGAAGAATCTGCCTGCAATGCAAGAGACACAGGAGACACAAGTTTGATCCTGGGTCGGGAAGATCCCCTGGAGAAGGAAATGGCAACCCACCCCAGTATTCTTGCCTGGAAAATCCCACGGACAGAGGAGCCTGGCAGACAGGCCACAGTCCAAAGGGTTGCAAAGAATAGGACGCGACTTAGCAACTAAACACACTTTTTGATAGGGAACCAGGACCTTGCCCTAGAGTTACACTATTGTTTCTCCCTGGTCTCCCTCCTTTCCCGAATTAGCAACTGCTTGAATATGCCCCTTGGGATTCAGGGAAGGTCGTGGAGACTGAAAGAAGACTGTTTCCAAAAATCAAAAAAACAAGGGACGCAGGAAGGCTTTGTGCCCAGGGGCCCCACAGGACCCTGCAGAAGTGTACCTTGATGAAGAGAGGCCAATGCATTTAAAAACAAACAAACTAATATTATTCCTAAAGAGAGGTACAGTTTGAGACTCAATCCCTGGGTAAGTGACAAACCTAACATTGCCCTAAACAATATATTTATGATTATACGGGCCTTTGGGGGGGCACTGAAAAACGTTTACCGTGGGGTTCAAAACTGATTTGTGATGTACTTAATGGTAAACTGAGAGAGGAGAAACACATTGAGAAAATAAATTCCTTTCATTATGTTTACTAAGAATTACACCAGTGAGAAAATAATTTACTTGATATACTTTATGCCCATTTTGAATGTCTCAAGTGATAAAGAGTTTCTGATGCTTTCCTTGGGGGAGGTGGGGGCTATCCCTAAGCTAATACTTTTCATTGTCATTCATGTTTTCTAAAGCAATAGCTCAAGGTCTAAAAGGTTTACTCACCACTCTACACAGATGCTGAATTAAAACCTTTCTAATAATACCCAAACTGTATTCTAATTTTTTGTTATGCTTTCAAAAGCTTGGGGATATAAAACCTTGATGTGTATATTTTAACAAATATTGATGCTTTCTTTGGAATTTGGGAGGCAAGTGTCAATGGATTGGCTATAACTAAATGAATTGGATATAACTAAACACTTTGACCTGTCATCTGGGCAGTTGTAATTAGCCTAATTCTATTGCATAGGTGAACTGCGCCTTTATGTTATCTAGACAGTGTTAGAGAGAAACCCTTCATTCCTCTCCCGAGTGCTCTTTTGAAAGTCTTGCTGCCCTAGTTAGTTCAATGCTATTTATTTTTACTTGTGTTCATTACTTTAGTCCTCAGGAGTAATGTTCAATGTTTAGCAACAATAAATTTTATTTCCCATGTGACAGTCTGGTTACAAAGCTGATACAAATCCCTCTAAATCTTTTGTGTCGCCTAGTATGCATTCATTATTTTCTTCATCTTTTTGTCACCAGCCAACCATTTAACTCGTTTACAGTCAGTTCCAAAGTAATTTATGTAGATGAGGGATCAACCCTCCAGGCATCTCACTTGGCCCTCTCAGCTGAGGATTGGGGTCTTCCTCTATCAAACCAGCCCCTCATCCACCCTCTTCAGAGCTGTGATGTTGGCTTCAACTTCCAACTTCAGAACACACACTCTCTAATCATAATCAATCGACCAACAATTATTTATTTCTATCCATGTAATGCTCTCCTAAGGAGTTGCTCTGGGTAAAAAATAAATAAATAAAACCAAAACAAATGACAGCAGATGGCAAAAAGTAGTATGAAACAAGTGATTTTTCAGAGTTGATTTAAATGCTTAGCTAAGCATTCCAGAAAGTCTTGTCATTTCAAAAGTGAGTGTTGTACATATAGGGTAGAGGAAATCAAGTGGTCCTCAACTAAAATGTCTCTCGGTGTTAATTTATCAAAGGGCGGACCAAGACAACCTACGTTAAAATATATTTTGACTATTCAAGCTGTTGTGGACAGTTTTTAAATATTACTCCTGTAAAAGTCAAAATGGAATCAGTATTGCTAAGAGAGCTCTCTAAAATGGAGTTGAGAGGCCACTGAGAAAGTGTGAATGTACACATCTCAACTGGATGGTATCTCACCTTTTTTTTTTTTAATC